AAACAAACAAACAAAAAAAAAACCATAATGTACACCTTAAACATATACAATTTTTGTCAAGTATTCCACAATTACCCTGGAAAAACAAACTATCAAAGTTAATTATCACACTTAGACTAAATGTAAAAAGAATAAAAATATATTACTGAGAAAAATTATGGAACAAATAAATGGGTTATATATATGTATATATATATATACACACACATATATATTTTTACATATATATCCCTTATTCATGTCGATATACATGAGCATATATGAGTGGATAGTGCTTACTGATTTAGAATATATATATACATGGAACAATCATTCAATTGTAAGCCACAAGTACTTGGGGATTATTTATTGCTAGTCAATAGAAGAATTAACAAATGCACCTCAAAATAGCCCATGAAAAAAGCAGGAATAAAAATCAAAATTAGAAGGTATTTTGGATGGAATGAAAAGAAAACAATATATCCAAACTTTCTGAAGAATGACTTAGATGAAAATATAGAGCTTCAAATAAAAAGAACATATAAAATCTAACTATATAGGAGTTGAAGAAAAAAACAGCAAAATGATGAAAAGAAATTAAAACCGAAATTGATGAAACCAACCAAACAGAAAATATATAATAAAGAGACCTGATGAAGCTAAAAGTCCTCCAATAATTGAATAAAATTGACACCAACCTGACCAGACTGATCAAGGATGTGGTCTTCTGACTCTCAGAAAAGGAATATAACCCAGGAGAAAATGCTGAGGTCAATGACTAAATAATAGACAAAAAATTGTTTTTTTGGTACCAGGAATCGAACTCAGGACCTTGTACTTGCCAGGCAAGTGCTTGTGCCTCTGGGCTATATCCCTGGCCCTAGACAAAAGTTTTGTAATAAATGGATAAAGTAAAATAAAGACTAGATTAATAATAATAATAATAATACAATTTAACTAGTGCAAGAGAACAAGGAGGAGCAAAAATTAATAATAGGTTGCTGTAACATGCAGAACAGGACTAGAAAATTGTTGTTTAAGGGTTTCAAAGTCCTTGAATGGGAGAGTGATGAAATTTAAACACCTCTATGAATATACTTAAATCTTGAGGTTAACGTATACGAATGGACAGTATTGCTTCCAGACAAAAACTATTGTTAAAACAACAGAAAAAACAAGCAAGGAGAAGAAGAGCAAGGGACAGAAACTCCTAGCTATCTCTGCAATAATCCTTCTTTCTTGTCCTCATTCATGTAACTGCTGTTTCTTGTGTATGAGCCTGCTACTTAGAAAACACTTGCAATCTGTATTCTCCCTTGCAGCTAAGTATGGACATGTGTCTAAGCTCTAATCAACCAGTTTTAAGTTTCGGGGAAATTTCAAAATGTAGATAGGCTCTAGTTGTTCTCATTTTTCTTCCTCTTTCTCCATTTAGATCCTGGCATTTGAGCAGCCTTCCCTTCTCAAGAAGCCAAGAGTCAGACCAGGAATGTGTGAGCACTGAGCTGTAAGAAGACTCATGAGGTGTCATTTCCTTCTGGAACCAGCTCTGCCTCAGACAACCCACTCACCATCCCGCTTTGTGGGAGAAAGGGTTCCATTTCCACCTAGAATATTTATTTTAGTCTTTCCACTATGGACAGCCAAATCTAATCCTAAGTGATTTAAAGATAAATGAAGTCACAAATTATATCATAACTACAATAGATATAAAGAGGAAAGAAGAATGAAATACATACATATATATATAATACATATTAAAGACAGAAAATAAATACCTGTTAAAGGCAGAAACATGCTGATTGAGTAAAAAGCAGAACTTCAGTTATATGTTCTTTGAAATCTAGATCTAAAAATATCAGAACAATGGAAGATTGAAAATAACCAATTAAATAAAAATAATAGCTTTATAGGAAAAGAACAAGAGTTCACCAATGTCTAAAATTTGTTTGCTGTTGTTTTGCTATAATCAGAAACAGGAAATTCAAGAAAAAGATTGGGTTTGAGGAAAAGGTAGGTAGCTCAACTGAGTGAAAACAGGTTAGAATAAATATGGGGGGCCTAGAGTAAGATGAGGGTCATCTGGAGGGCTTGTTCCAGTACAGGGGGATGGGCACCACCTCACTGTTTCTGATTCCTAGCTCTGAGATGAGGTGTGAGACTGCACTTCTAAGAAATGACAAGATGTTGCTCACGTTGCTCCAGCTTTGAGAATTTCTGTATTTCTCAGTGATCACTGGCTGCCCAAGAGGAAATGGAGCCCGGAGCTGCTTCAGGGGTCCTGAGAGCTGACCACACCTTAGAATCACCTGAAGAGCTCTAGGTGTGTACTCAGACCTGGCCTCAGTCCACCAGCTTCAGAGCCAGTGGTACACCAACTCACTTCAGCAGCCATAATGTCTGTTGCTTTTGTTGATTCTCCTTTGCTTTCTTTTATAACAACATTTATAATTGTATATAGCGCTTACCTCAAAAATTTAGGAAAATCATCTAAAGATCTTCATACCACTTATGCAAACTTTGTTTTGCCATATAACATTCAGTTTCCAGTATTTTTAGGGGTTTTTCTTAGACTAGGATAATTATACAGTCAAGGAAATCAGACCATTTTTATCATGCTTAATACCAGAAATGACAATGAAGTAGAATTTCAGCTGTTAAAAGCAAGGGAAAAACCTAAAAATCTCCCATTTTCCTTGCTTTTAATTATTACCTTTTAGTCACAGTAAAAAAATCTCTCCATTTGGAGTCCTGCAAATGTGCTTACATTCTTGGTCTCTCCTTGGCTTTGCTGTCGATGGCACCTCTGTCGCATGTTATGATGATAATGGTTCACTGGGTAACTTTCCACAAACATGAAGGCCACGTGTGTCAGAAACACTGGATGTCTGCTATGTGACAAAATGATGTCAAGAGGATGAAAACTGCACCCTCACATCCTGCTAAGGCTGCCTTTCTGAATATGGGTGGTACAAACGGAGAGGAAGATTGATCCGTTACATGCAGATCACTGAGTACTTCACCTCCAACCACCTTTCTGCACGCCTCCAATCACCCAGCTGCTTTACCTCATAGATATCCCTAAAAGATATCTCCAGAAGGCAGATTCCAGCCTTCTCCTCCCCTCCCAAGCTTGGCTGCCTTGAAAATCAACTCTTCTTGTTTGCAAAACTTGTTGCCTCAGTGATTGGAGTATTGTTCAGCAGGCCAAATGGGTCTGATTTAGTAACACAGTGAGTTTCCAAATGCTGAGTTTAGGGTCAAAGGGAAATTAGAGATTGTAGTCAAATACCAAGAAAGAAACACAATTTCTTGTTGCCCTAATAGCTCCAGAAGTTATAACTTGCTTTTAATTAATTAAAAAAAAAAAACACAATAGTTTAGCAGGATTTTCTTAAAGTATTTTTCTACCTTTATATTTTTGCTAAACTGTGAGTTACCCAATCATTGCAGGCATTTTTTGATTTAAAAATTAGTATTACAAAATAACACAAAAACAATACAAGCAGTACAGAATTTCAGACAAGGTAATAGGAAATTAACAATGGTTGTTGTACTACATATTGATACCCTCATATGTGTGACTCAGATAAACAAACATAGGCATGTAAGATTGAATGAACAATTAAACATTAACCATTCCTTTCAATAAAGCAATAGAAATCAGTAGTGCAACTACCTTGTTAATATGTTTTCATTCTTTTATCTTTATTTTTTTAAATTTTATTTTAAAGAGTAAAAGAAGGATAACATAGTAATAGGGGGACATACCGAATTACAGACAAGGTGGTAGGAAATTATCAATGGTTGGTATTTTACCTATTGGTATCTTCAAGATAGTTTCTCAGGAAAACAAATAGACAAATAATAGTGTCTTTCATCTTTAAAATAAAAACAAAATTAATATTAAAGTTGCTGGCCAGGCACAATAGCACATGCCTTCATTCCACTGGGAAGCTGAGATAGAAGAAACACTTGAAGTCAGGATTCCCTGGCCTCATGTTGAGACCTTCTCAAAAATAAATTAATTAATTTAAAAACGAGCCCTTTAGCAACATACTTGTTAATAACTTGTGCATATCTGATTTTCTTAAAACTAATGTCGAGAGGTAGGATAACTTGAACAAGGTTTTGATCATTTCTAATATTTAGGACACAAATTCCAAGCGCTAGTACACTTTGACGAATCTTGAAGGAACACAGATATTTCTCTGTACTTCCACATATGATATGATTGGAATGAAAAGTGTCCCTGGCTGACAAAATCACCAACTCATCACTGCTTTTTTTGTTTGTTAGTTTATATTTATTGGAAAATAATAAATATCTCTCTGGTTGTGTGAGGTGGGAAGAACTACCTGGAAAACATTCTTTCCTTACAACTATGCTTTAGCTAACTTGCACATTAATTTGCATTCCTTGGATTCTTTTTGTAAAAACATTTTCTTTGTATCAAATTCAAAATCAGGAAAGAGATGAAAGTGATGTACTTGAAGTTAGGAGTCTGATGGTTTAGGGGAGAAGGAAGGAGAGGGGAAGAGTGGTTAGAGGTGTATGGGAGTAGACTACCAAGTCCTGGTGTTCTGTTTCTTGACCCAGGCAATGGTTATTTTGTTTTGCTCATTTTACAACTATCTGTTGAATTGTGCACTTATGATTTTTGCAATTTTCTGCACATGGTGTGTTTAACATCCAAGAAGTTTAAATCAAGTTAAAGTACCAGCCCTTCCTCAGCTGGTTAAGCCCATCATACAATTCAAATATACAGACCTGACTCCGGTCTTGAGGTTGGCTTCCAAGCTCCCATGTTCGCATCAAAGCCGTTTCTCTCTCTACAAAGGAAGGAAGGCAAGAAAGTCTTTCACCCACGTAATCATTCCCAGGAATATGCAGTATTCTAGAAAATAAGGCCGGAGCCAGGCAACGCTTTGCTCAGAAATATAGATCTTAGATCTTGTGGTTTCTGAGCAGAAAAGATCTGCCCTTCAAGTGAGATTAAGGTTGAAGAATTAGTGGTGCTTAAATGATACTTAGTAAATATTTATTGAAGTTAAATGGGTGGGTGTGGTAACCTGTCTCCAAGGCTTCTGCTTCTACCTACATTCATTAATGCCTATTTTAAAGAGACTATTCTTATGTAATTATCCAACAACAAACAAACAAAGATATGCTCATCCAAAGAATGAGCTGAAATGCCAAGTGTGTTATAAGGCCTGGTGCTTTCACTGCGTGGACATCAAATAAGTTAGTGTTTGATTCTACAAATAACCGTGAAGCTGAGAGCAGAAGAAAGCAGCAAACCGCAGCTGCTGGGGCCTGGCTGCAGCACCCTCTGCAGGTTATGTAACAGCTGTTGTGTAATTGTGCATTTAACTCGAAACACATTTATGAAAAAGAAAACAATTAGCCTTACCAAAAAGAAAAGACTTAAGAGACAAAATGAGAAATGTTGAAAGGACACAGAAAGTTCTATCTGGTCTTCAAGTAGGAGGTACGGGGAACTCTAGGACTTAGGCATGGAACTGCCTTAGAATCTAGAGGACTGATCCATGCTGCAAAATCTGGCCTGCCTTCTGGCTTTCTGCAAATAAAATTTTATTGAAAAACATTTACACCCATTAATTTACCTGCTGTGCACAGTGTCATGTAAACAAAGGACAAAGAAGTTATAACAGAAATCATCTGGCCCAGAAAGCTAAAAATATTTCTTATCAGTCTCTTTACAGAAAAGTGTGTGAATTCCTAGCTTAGATGAAAAAAGTTAAGCTTACGTGCTTGTAAGGGTGACAGTTCACTTGGAGAACCATAGCGGCTGATTTTTGAAGCTATCTGAAATTCTTACAAAGCAGGGGGTCATGGCGAATAAGAGGTTGGGCTTTGCAACCAGGCAGGCGTGAAAAGAAACTGAAATTTTGGCCTTGTACTTATTAGATCTGTGATTATGAGTAAATTACTCACCCTTTACCTACAAAATTGGGAGACAACTTGTGGAAGGAAAGAAAACTGAGGCTCTCACACTTACTTTAGAGAAACTACGCTGCATTTTTTGGTTTCCCTATCTAAATCCCGTATTCAGGGGAGCTGGCAAGAACTTGTTAATTCATTGCAATCAGAGCATCCAAAGAATTTTATCTTGTTCCTATTAGAACTTTTGCTAGAGCTTCAACACAATAAAGCATTGTCCTTAACATGAGAATGGTTCCGTTTAAAGTTGTCCTTTTTGAAAATTCCCAGCTTGAACACCAAGAATTTGAATTATTTGAGAGTCCGGTTTAAAACTTGCATGACTGTCTATAGCAGTGACTGATAAAAACAAACACCTTTGAGAACCAGAGTTCTCTTTTTATCTCATGAGCTCTCACAGACGATGTGGTCACATCGCTGATTGTGGTGACGCTGGCACCGTATGTCAGTGTACTCTGAGCTCCCTAAGAGTCCTGCTGACGTTTCTGTTTCCACATGGAAAATATATATAATTCAGGGCTCCTGAAATCACGGCAGAGGCACTGGAAATCCACCTGAGTGATTAGATTTTTAAAAGCTGGCAGAAGGTAGTGCCTAAAGTGCCCTTATTCCCCTCCCAGTCACAGTTTTCGGAGGGATGGATTGTTTTGCTGCCGGCCTTGTCCTGAGACACCTGGTTAGGTTCTTTTCCTTTTCATCTTCTACTGAGAACAAGGGTCCTTTTGGATTCTTTCAATTCTCAGGTTTTCTGATTCCAAGTCATCAGAGAACAGAAAGTTACACAGTAGCATAAAAAGCCAAAAAAAATAATAACTGGGTTTAGAGGCCAGAGCAGCTGTGCTGCATATCCTTATCACAGGTTTCAGCTTTGTAAATTAATTCATCTGCAAATAGTGCCCTGTCTCCAGATGCAACTGCAGTGTTAGAGTGCTGGTTTTTTTAAGGATTTAAGTTTAAAGCCAAAGGCTTCCTGCTCTAGGTGTTACAAATAAGTAGTGTCCTTTCTTTTTTGCTCCCGGTCTGTTCACCCAATCATATCCCAATATGCAAATAAACTTTAGCCAGTGCAGATAAAAAGGAACAAATAAAGCCAAGTGCTGTATCAGAATCAAATTGCTGAGCCTGTCACCTGTGTTCCAGGAGCCGAACCAGAAATGTTGTCCTCAGCAAAGCCAGACTTACCTGTCCCCCTGACTGATCTGAAGATTCAGTATACTAAGGTTAGTACAACTTGTATCCACTGCTTTGCCTTGGGTTTCCATAAGGTACATCTGTTTGAAGCATAAAAAGGTCAATTTAACTAAACTTGTGTGAAGAGCCCTTTGCAAATACAAAAATAAAGACTTGTTTAAAATGCAGGTCTGGGTTTGGTGTCCTAATCAAATAATAAATTCTAGACCATAATAGACAACTTTTCATAAATTTCTTATGATATTTCAAAGTGAAAAAATATTTCAAAGTGAAAGAAACCTTCCTCTATGTTAAATATTCTTGTACCAGAATTCAGTGGACTTTAGTAAGCAGTTTTAACTCCGTGTAGCCAGAATATAGACGAGTGAGGCAAGTACTCACTGGATTAACTTACTGGAAGAAGCCAAAAAGTTAGAAATATTTGAGAGAGAGAGAGAGAGAGAGAGAGAGAGAGAGAGAGAGAGAGAGAGAGAGAGACACAGACAGCTACAGAGACAGACAGAGAATACGGTAATAATGTAACTTTTCTATATAGTTCATAAAAACAGTGCTAAATCAGAAGACTTATATCTGATAATTAGATGAAAGCTATTTTGTAAAATTTCAAATTGACTTCTGTTATTCTACCTATTTTGGTAAAGAAAGCATGCTTATTTATTTTTGCAGCCAAGTTTGTTGTTATTGCAGCAAAAATGTAATTGTTAATTAATAAATATACAGACGAACAAGGACAAGAGCCAGACACAGCTTCAAAATCTACTTCTAGGGAGAACTAAGCAGTAGATCCTGCTGGAGTTGTACTGAGGGTGCATGTCTACTTTGCTTCACTCACAGTTGCATGCCTGCTTGCCTGTCAGATGGTAGCACTGCAAAAGAGAAAGAAAAATGAAAAGAAACAATCAACAATCCAAACAAAATCACCTAAGGTTAACTTTATAGTGTGATAAAGAGAAAAACTGTTGCAACTCAGGAGGAGTCATCTTGCCTTCTTAATCAACCAATACATGGACCAAGAGCATTAAACTTGCTAACGTAACATTTTCATCTATTATTTGTTTATCTCCCTCATGCTGTGCTGCGTGATTTTGAAATTCTAAGTTCTATTGTTTTATTTACATAAGCACAACAAGTGAGGAATCTGCTCAATTGACTGGTCCTTTTCCTTAGGAAAATTTCCCCAAGCATGAGTGTGCCTTTAACATGGTAGCCTTGCAGCTATGGAATATTTGAAGGTATTATTACACAAGAATTTACTGGACAGAAAATGCTTTTTCACTGAATTTTATCATGAATGGGATGATGAAATGTGTAAATGTCTCCAAATAATTTACATTTCAAGAAGTTATGCCCAAAACATCACATCTCAAATCTTCTTGACTTTCTTAACCAGCTTGTTATTCACAAGCAATTTTAAGTCAAAGTAAGTGTATTTAAAAATGCATTCATGATGATCAAAACTGCTGGAATTGCTTTAACTATTCCACTGCAATTATTAAAAGGAATATATTTTTCTATGATCCTTCCTGGAAAGATATTTTGATAGCTCAGATGTCTCCTCACACTTTATTTAATTTGACTTTGCAGAGGTTTGCAAAGTCTTTATTGTTTTTTTACCTCCAGGCAGCTCTAACATGAAATAATCTTTCTAATGAATTAAACTTTGTTTAGCAGCTGTTAACCAAACTATAAATAACAGTACTAGAGAAATGAGATGTTCTTTACAATGTAATATGCAAGCATAAAACTAATGATTCCTTAATAAAAAAGGTGCTTTTATGATTGAAATCTGTTCACCTTGAATTTAATGTACGACAGCATCCTTCTAAGGAAAATGATTGACCTGAGTGTTCAAAAGAAGACAAATTTGAAAGAACAGGCACTTACACTCTGTTGAAAAACTTCTTTAAGAGTATTACATAATGCAACTCAGTGAGTTTGGTATCTCACGACAGCATCCTTCTAAGGAAAATGATTGACCTGAGTGTTCAAAAGAAGACAAATTTGAAAGAACAGGCACTTACACTCTGTTGAAAAACTTCTTTAAGAGTATTACATAATGCAACTCAGTGAGTTTGGTATCACTTGTATAAATCTGGTCTGTTCAGATAGCATTTTATTGTTTGACTTTATGGGTTACAGTTTTTTTTTTCACACTTGGAAGGACACCAGTTATGTATGGAATTAAATCTAAATGGGTGAGCTTTTTCAAATGCCTTTGTATTTTCCCCTTTCTGTGTCCCACTGATGAATTATATTGGGTTTGCTCTTGCAGTAAAAGTTGGAAAAATGATGGTCATTAACTAAATTTCCTACTTACAAACCAAGTAAGCAATAGTTTTACAGTGACTGAGGAACTACCTTCTCTGATCAGCCCCTAAACTTCTGTATTATTTTCTGTACTTTAATATCCTTCATCATTATCTCTAGAAGTATAGTGGTTGTTGGGGCAAAGGAAGGAGAACAGACAAGCAGGGTTGAATACAGAAATTTATAGCTATAGTTAGAAGAGCTACACATACTCTTAAGCTGGAGACTGCTTTTTATCCAAACAAAAGAACTCGTTGATGCATATCTCTTAATGACTTATTTTCTAGTACAGTCAGATGATTTCTTTGTTGGGGTAGATGAAACAGAGATTAGAGTTTAAGAAATATTTTCTAAAATGATACAAAAGCTTTTGGAATTTAAAACCTCAGAAACATAAATCCACATGAACTTGGATCCCAGCCCTATCCTCATTATTCTCCTTTCCAATTGTAAAGGGATCTCACATCTGCCAACCCATCCCTGGTGTTGAGCTTTTAAATGAAGAGCTTCTTTGAAAGTTATATGATCACTGGGCAAACTACATTAGCTCTGTCTGCCTCCTCTTCCTTACAAATAAAATGGGGATTATCAAAGTATCTATTTCCTAAGGTTAGTGAAAGTATTATAGGAGAGAGATGTAAAGTACTTAAAGCAATGCCTGGCACATGGGAAATGCATGATTAACGTTAGCTACCCTAGTCCTGAATATTTTCCTGGATCATTTCCAGCTTTTTCAGAATTTTCTTTGACCCAGCTTTCCCCGGACCTGTTTCCCACACACGCTCTTCCCGTCTGCCCCTGCTCCGGGGTTTCCTCGCCCTGCCTGGCAGTCTCATCCCACCTGACAAAGGTTGCACTGGAGCGAAGTTCAAAGGGTTTGTCAGGGAGTTCAGGGATCAAGTATTTCCTCTTAGAGAATTTGATTACTTTATTTTCCATCTTTCTTTCTCAATACTGTTTTTTACATTGAAAATAAAAAAAGACAAATAAGAAATTCAAGACGACTAGTTTTCTTAGATAGGGTTTAAACCCAAAAATGTTCAATATGATTATTAAATTTAACTAATTAAGCAGAGTTTGCTGATGGCAAGGAAAACATTCATCAACTAATGACATTTTACACACACGTATACACACAGAAAATAATTATAGTTAAGATTCATGGAGTTTACCATGCCAGTGACTGCTTAGGTTTCTTTATAATGATTTCAGTGATGCCTATAACAGTCCTGTGAGGAGGTTACTATTTGCTTCTTACATATGAGGGAACTGAGGAACAGAGTGGGTAAGTAACTTGCCTAAAGTTACACAGCTAGTATATAGCAAAGCTAGACTTTTAATACTGGCAGGCTGAACCCTCACACTAACAAGTCATTTGTCTAAGGTCAGTACCACTACTTTGGGCCACGGAATTGCCAGGTTTTGTTGTGTTTACTCTGACTTTCATTTGCCTGCTTGTGATTATGGGATGATGCATGACCATGAGCTTTTCCAGCTGCTGCTCAGCAGCTCCCAGGCCAACAACAGGACATTTGCCATGAATTCAGAAAAGAAAGGACAACAGGGAAGGTTGGAAGGAAGCAGGCTCTCTGCTGGCAAGGTGGAATTTGGGTTGGGAGAGGCTGTGAGGAAAAGTTACAGAGTTTCTCTAAATGTCTTCAACACATACAGATTGAACTTTGGTTATAGCAGACCGCTGCTCTCCTAGGTTTCTGGTTTATTTGATATTTCTGTTTTAAATAACATGTCTTCTACAAGAATAAGTTACTCATCACTGAGTATTTTGTGTCAGGCCTGATTTGAACAGTTAGTTTTCTTTTTGTTTCTTTCTACACCATTCTCTGCTTTTAAATTTTTGCAACAGACAAACTCAAGCCACATGCATTTCCAAATACCTTCTCTCACTTATTTCTCCCATTTTTCCTTTTCCTTTATCTAACACAGTTATTGAGTGCATGCACTGTGCTAGGTGTTATGACGCACAAATGTTAAGTTGATTTTTATCAGCCAGAGATTTTATTCCTAGAAGATATATGTGGCAGAACTCAAGTGAAGTAAGACAGCACTTTAATCATACACTGTAAGTGCTAAAACAGAAAACTGAACCCTGAGAGACTACGACAGGTAGAGCTCACTCTTGATGATGTTGTTAAGAAGAATTCTTTTAAAAAGGGGGCATTTGAGGTAAGTCTGACGGGTGCAGAGAATAAAGTGGCAGCGTAGAATGGGGAAGAACAGAGATCCAGGGTAACAGAACATACGCGACCCTGCACACAATGGCTTGTTGTGTTTGAAGAACTGTCAAAAGGCGAATAAGACTGGGGTACAGTGAAAGAGGGAAGGTACTTGTGAAAGGAGGTTAGAGATGCATGCAGGGGTCATGCCAGCTGGCTGGTAGAGTCTATTTGAGGGAACCACTTTGGGGTGCTTACAACAGGACAGGACCTATGTTCTCAGAACAGCTGAATGTGCTGTGGCGTTGCTTTCATTTGAGAGATCTTTTCCAAACTTCTGACTGGAAATATTTTGTTTGTTTGGGGCTTGAAAGCAGTTGAACAAGTAGCTGAATGTCTGTAGAGCAGTAAGAGTGTAACAAGATAAAACTTCAATTTCCAGTTCTTTTACCTGTTTAATAATATGACCTTGACCAAACTTCTAATCTGCGTCAGCATCAGGTCCCCATTCTGTGAATTGGGAATAATAATGACTGCCTTGGAAAGTG